TTTCTCCGAGTCATTGTCTTCCAGGCTCCGGCTGGTGGTCGGCATGGCCCGTTGAGTGTGCGGACCGTTTAAGGGACACGGGTGTTGGGTGGGGGAATCGGCCCCAGCGGAGTGGGAGGGGGCGGGACACACGAACACTCACACACACATACACACACACGCACACTTACACACACGCACACTCACACACACCCTCTCACACATGCACGCTTACACACACGCACACTTACACACACACTCTCACACACGCGCGCGCAGGCAGGGCAGGTGCCCGTCCCCCGGGTGTGGGTGTGCGTGAGGACCGCACCCACCGAGAGCGTGTGCGAGCGCCGGCAGGACCAGGTTCCCGAGCTGTAAGGGCTCCTGAGGTCGGAAAGGCTGCGGGGGAGCCCGGGCGCCCTCCAGCTCTTTTGTTTGGTCCTCGAAGGTGACGGTCCTGGAGCCCTCTGCTGGCGGTGACCGGCGAAGTGCAATGGGCTGAACCCGGTCTGGGGCGAACGACGCAGTCCTCATCTCTCTTCACACATACCCAACAAAGGCAGAACTTATTTTGTGTCTGGCGTGGGTGCACAACCACTGGAATGGCTATTTTTATTTTTGAAAGTTGTTTATTATTTTTATTTTATTTCGGTTTTTCGAGACAAGGTTTCTCTGTGTAGCCCTGACCGTCCTGAAACTCACTCTGTGGACCAGGCTGGCCTTGAACTCAGAGATTCCCTTGCTTCTGCCTCCCACGAGCTTTCTTAGTAATAAAAAAATAAATAAAACTTTAAGGCTCATAAATAAAGACCCTTTCATTTAGTTACTGATAATTTTGAGGAGGGGAAAAGAACATGACTTTTTATCATTGTAGGTGGAAATCAAAGAGAACTTGCCCGCCAGAAAAATATGAAAAAAACCCAGGAGATTAGCAAAGGAAAAAGAAAAGAGGATAGCTTGACTGCCTCTCAGAGAAAGCAGAGGTGAGTGGTCCTGAGAGAACTTTCAAGTCAGTGGTGATTTGACTGCCATGTTTCTAGAATGAGTGAAGAACATTCTTAAACCCTTGCTGGAACTGCGCCTCGCCTACACTAAGGGTTAACACTGCGGATCTGGGTAGCCCTAAGTCTACTAAAACCATGCACTGAGGTCATCATCCCAGCCTGTGGATGAGGAATTTCAAGCCCTGAAGCTGTCAACTGTTTGCAAAGACTCTCTTGTATCCCCTGTCAACTGTAAGGACTTTATTAGAGAAAACTGCAAACATCATCCTCCGTATGTAAGAACTGTTAGATGAACAGGATACAATGTCTCCAAAGCAGACAGCTTGCCCCAAGGAGTCAGAATAACAAGTGGCTCAGTCAATTTCAGGGTTCTGAAAATCCCACAAAGTACAGGCTTGTGGGGGGTCCATTGGGGTTGGAGTGGAGATACAGACACAGGATTGATATAAAACCTTATGCACCAGGCGGTGGTGGCAGGCCTTTAACCCCCGCCCGGGGGGGGGGGGGCGGCGAAGACAGAGGCAGGCGAATCTCTGTGTTTGAAGCCAGCCTGGTTTACAAAGACAGTTCCAGGACATCCAGGGTCACACAGAGAAACCCTGTTTTGAAAAACCAAAAGAAAAAAAAGAAGACCTTATGCTACTCAGAGGCCAGCATAGGCTACAGAGACCTACGGATCATGTCTCAAAAAAAAAAAAAAAAGAAAAAGAAAAAGAAAAAAAAGAAAAGAAAACAAGGAGAGGCAGGCACTGAGGGTATAGCTCAGCAGCAGGAACACTTGCCTAACATCTGTACAGCTGTTCCATCCCTAGCACTTGAGATGACTGGGTATGACAGGTAACACATAGCTGCCCCAGGAGCACTTTAATGCCTAGGGCATAGTGTTGCCCAGTTGTAATCCTAGAACTTAGGAAGCTGATGCAAGAGAATAAGGAGCTTGAGGCCATCCTGGACTACGTGACAAGATAGTCCCAAGAGATGATAAATGCCTCAAAATTTTCTTTTACATATATTGTGTGTGAATGTCTTGTTGGCACAGGAAAAATCTTTAATGAGGTTGCAGATTACCATGTTCAAAGGGGAGTGGAGGACCTGGAAGCATAGTTCAGTGTTACATCACATGCTTTGGATACTTGAGCTGCAGGCTCAACCCCCAGACCATACATACATACAAGAAATTCAAGTTACAAGTTCTGTCATTGTATAGGATACGAGAAACTGGGAACCGGAACATACCAATCTCATCCTCCTGGCAAGCTCCATGGGGACAAGGATCTTGGCTGGAGCTAGATCTTAGTGTCTCATGTCTCACATGCCTGAAGTTCTGGGTTTACTCCCCTGTGCTAGGGATTTCATTTAGGATCTTTTTCACTTAACTCAATCACTGAGTTACATACACTCCATATTCTAAAGAGATTTTATTGTTCATAAGGAAGTTGGAGGTTAGGTGTGCTTCAGTGTGGTTTATTACGCAATCATTTACATAGGGGTCAACTTGGAAACTATTGAAGCCATTACTCTACACCCTGTTCTAATTTAATTGTGATGAGATGAGTCTGGGCATTAGAAATAAAAACAATGCCTCGGGTTCAATCCCAGCACTGCAAAAAACCAGGAGTGACACATGCTTGTAATCCCAGCACTTAGGAGGTGGAAGCAGAAAAATCAGAAGCTCAGTTCATCCTCAGTTTGCATCAAGTTTAAGGCCAGCCCATCTGGTGAGACCCTCTGTGGTTATGGGATGGGAGCATGCTAGGGCTGAAGATGAAACTCATCATGTGGTAGAACCTTTGTCTAACACATGTGAGGTTCTGAATTTGATCCTCCTCTGCCTTTCCTTCCCCGCCAAGCACACTAAACAAGTTTTATTTTACCTATCATAATAGTTAAACCATGGTTGAGACTTCTTAGTCAATGAGATCAAATCCCTTAATGGAAGAGGCATGTAGGTCCTTGTGCTCACATATAAGCACTAGGGAAGCCAGGAATGTTAAACACACAGCTCTTCAAAGGAGAGAGATGTACAACCTGTGTTCCACCCAGAAGGCTGGAACAGAAAATAACCTGGTGACCTTTGTGCTGTCTGTGTGGCCAGGACACAATGGCTCCTGCAGACCCTTATCTTGAGCATGTTTGTCTTGGTCAATCTGTAGCTCTGTCCTTCCCTAGCTCTTTATTGTGAGCCTCTCTTGAGCCTGTTTCCTTGGTTAATCTATGAAACCTATCTTATAGAAAATGTCACTTGTACATCACTAAGAGTTTTGATGTAGTCATGTCTTCAGCTTTATTGTGCATGCAAGATTGAAACAATTATCACCATGAAACTTTTTCCAAATTTTGTTGTGCTTAAATATGCCTAAAATAAAGTACCCAGTTTTAGACTCTCAAAGTTTGAACCAACACAAGCTACTGAGTCCTCTTGAGCTGAACAGCCTTTTTATATCAATCTTGTGATCATTACTCTGCTGGCCTTAGTGGTCAAAGAGACCACCACACCATAAGTATCTCTTGTTTCATGATAGTTACTGTATATGTGTGTACATGCTTCAAGTACTTTTAAGGGTCTCCACATGTGTGAATGTGGAGGCCAGAGGTTGATACCAAGTATATTTCCTCTGTCACTCCACTATTTTCGACAGGGTCTCTCACTAACTATGAAGCTCTCCAGTTTGCCTAGGCTGACAGGCCAGATGAACCTGAGAGATGTGCCTGCCTAAGCCCTGCCTAAGCCCTGCCTAAGCCCTGTCCCCCAGCCTGAGGTTTAGATGTACACCGCCATGCCCTGCTATTTACATGGAATTTGTGGATCCTCCTGCCTGTGTAGCAGGAACTGTAGAGGCATCCCCACAGCCCCAGTGACAATGACTGATAGAGCAATAAACCTGCCTTAGGTTTCTGTTAGCTCTCCTTGAAGTAAAACGAGTATACATCAGTGACCTGAAATGTTCTTTTTATTGGAGAATCTATTCTAGCCTGTCCCAGAAATAGCATTGTTTAGCTAATACTCATTCCCTTCAAATGTACTATATGTGACATACCTCTACCCATTATGACCCTGAAAGTAGTATTCACACCAGGGTGAAGAACCGAAGAGTGAGGTTATGGTTTGGTGTTGTTTGAGGACCAAAGTCTCATTATAGCCCACACTTGAACTTAGGATTCTTCTGCCTCAGCTTTGCAAATTCTGGGTGCCAGGCATTAGCCACCACATCTGACTTGTGGCTCTGAACTTCAGTAATATTACTAAGATTATATAGCAAATACCAGAGCTTGATTTGAAGCATAAAAATAACTTGTTCTTAATTCCACTTAGTGAATTCCAATTAATTCATCTCTCTGTAGCTTTTCCTTCTTTTTTTTCAGTTGTACTTATAGAAGTGTCCTCTTAGAGAATTAGCCAATACTGAATTAAAATCTAATTCTGAATTTAAGTTTTAAAAACATAGGAAAGATTCATGGTTTTGAAATTAGCCAGATCTTGGTATTTATGTGATTTGAGGCAAATTATTTAGTCTTGTGCCTATTTTATATATAGATTTTAAAAATGATTTACTTACTTTTATTTTGTGTGTACGAGTACTTTGCCTGCATACCACTTGCATGGCTGATAGCTATGGAGTCAGAAAAGTTACTGAATCCCTAGGAACTGAGGTTACAGACAGTTGTAAGCTACCATAGAGGTTCTGGAAACTGAACTCGGGTTCTCTGCAAGAGCAGCAACTGATCTTAATTGTTGAACAATCTTGTCCCTTTCTGTTTTTTAATATGAAACATGGGGATAATAACTGAAGTTGTTGGACTTAAGCAAAAAACAAAAACCAATAGGGCTTGGCTCAAAGAAGGTGACTTTTTTTTTTTTTTTTACTTGATCTCTTTATTTTTGAGACAAGGCTTCACATTGTATCTCAGACTTGATTGGAAATCAATATATAGCTTAGACTGGCCTAGAACTGGTAGTAATCTTAACCTCCCATGTCCTGGAATTACTGGTATGAACCACCATACCCAGAAGAGGATGTTGAATATGTAGCTATGTAGTGTATTTTAAAATATGGAGTCCTTCACCTGTGAATGAGGCCCTAGATTTGATGCCTAGTGTCATTAAATATTTGTTCTGTTTCGTGGGACGTCGATGGATAACTCATCTGTAGTTCTAGGTTAGCCTAGACGTTTCTATATAATGGAATCAGACCTTGAACTTCTGATCTCCTGCTTCTACCTCCCAAGAACTTGGGTTATGGGAGTGTACCACCACATTCAGCAACCACTAAATATAAAAAACGGCATTTGAAAATATATGTGTAAGTATGGGCCCCACTAACTCATAGATCACCTAGATAAGGTAGTTTGGCTGTAGTTCATAGTTACATGATATGAAGATTCAATCAGGGAGATACAAAGGTTAAGAAAGTTCTTCTAATACCATGTATTTCTTTATCGTAATCCAATGTTAAGTGTTGATGATTTGATTTAGGGCTTTAAAAAGTTGGATCGTTGTAATTCCAACACTCAAGAAATGAAGGCAAGAGGATCAAGAGTTGAAAGTCTTTTTTGGCTATGTATCAGTTTGAAGGCCATCCGTGGACTATGAGAGACCCTGTCTCAAACAAAATAAAACAAAAACAGAAAAGAATTATAACATTTATACTGGAGTCCTAGGTTTCTGTTAGGGTATATAGGAGACTGCCTAAATGCGCTGAGGCAGTGGCAGGTGGATTCCCGTGAGTTTGAGGCCAGTCTGGTCTAGACCATGAATTCAAGGACAGCCATGGCTACACAGTGAGACTCTGTCCCTCACTCTCTTTTCTCCCAATCGAAATGAAAGAGTTTTGAGATGTTTAATGTGTTTAATGCCTAAGGCCATGATAACAGTAACATGGTATTCAACTGCCTTTCCATTCTTTGCTTTTCTATTTTTCTATATCCATGAAAGTTAAAAAAATGATTGTTTTTGTCTCTTACGCTGCCTTTTGATGTACCAAAAAAGGTTATGTATAGAAGCAATGGTCGCATGAAAACAGTTTTCCTGTGAAAACGTAATACTCTTTTCTCTATTCCAGGGACTCTGAGATCATGCAACAAAAGCAGAAGATAGCCAATGAGAAGAAGTCTATGCAGACAAGAGAAAAACGATGACTGGCTTTTTGGCAAACCTGGGTGCTATTGCCAGTGGGGTGCATCATAAGCTCTAAGATCAAAATTCCTCAGAGTGACTAATCATTACCTGTGTTATAACTTATCCTTATAAAACTGTCTATTTTATACTTTACTTTTCACCCTTACTTAATGTTTTAAGACCATTTTCAAAGAATAAAACACTGACCATGCATGTAACAGATTGGTGAATATTACTTTTATCAGTAGGAGAACATTTATATAGTTTATTAAACAGGCAATGTATAGTTACACTTGCATTGCTAGGTCACAGTACCTGACAAGGGGAAGTTGAGGCAGGAACAGATTGGCTCACGGTCTCAGGATTTCTCTCCTTCATAGAAAGGAGAGCAGAGCAGAGCAGCTCAGTTCATGGTAGGAGGAGCACATAGCAGAGGAGTCCACGCCTGGACAGGAACCTGTCCTTAACGACCTCGTCCCTCCACTAGGCCTCATCTCCTAAAGGATCCATAGCCTCCCAAAATTGGACCGCCAGGTGAGGAATAAGCATGCAAACTATGAGTTCCAGGAGATACTCCAGAGGTGATTCACGAGTAGGATCTCTTACATAAATCTAGAATATTTTTTCAATATTCACTATACTTTTATTATTTTTTATTTATGTGTATTGATTTTTTTTTTTTCTGCATGAGGATCTCAGGTACCCTGGAACTGGAATTAGAGACAGCTGTGAGCTGCCATATAGGTGCTGGGAATTGAACCTGGGTCCTCTGGAAGAGCAGCCAGTGCTCTTCACTGCTGAGCCATCTCTCCAGCCCCATAAATCTAGAATCTTGGTCATACACTTTGTTTAGTAGTTTGACTTTGTTTTTGTTATTTTCTGAAACAATTTCATGCTGTAGTCCAGGCTAGTCTTACATACATAGCAGTCCTGCCTTGCCTTCTGAGTTCTGGGATTGTGTAGCCACAATGCTAGTCTAACATAGATCTTCAAGCTTTTGTCTGTTACAAATTTTCTTAAATGTTTAAATATTAATTTATTACTTGTATGTATAGAATGGAGACTTTTCTCTGTCTCACCAGTCTCCCACTGGACCAGTTTCTCTCTGCTCACCGTTCCCAAGTAGCCACTCAGAGGCTTAGTATCAGTTACAATTGTTTGGCCAATGGCTTAGGTTTCCTACTGGCTAGCTCTAACTATCAATGAACCTATTTCTATTAGTTTATACTTTACCTCATAGCTTGCTTCCCTGGCAGCTACATGGTATCTCTTTGACTCTGTCTTCCTTCTCTGTCTCTTTGGATTTCCTGCCTAGCTTTAATCTGCCTGTATTATTATTTAATAAAAATCCTTTATTCATCAGCCAATAAAAGTAACAATAAACAGAAGGACCTCCCATCAGCCACAGTGCTAGCCTAAAGTGGATATTTAAGTTTTGTCTATTATAAATTCTCTTACATTTTAAGTATCTATTTAGCATGTATATGTGTGGCACAGAAACATGTAGAGATGAGAGAACAACTTAGGGAGCCATTTCTCACGGTCCAGCACGGAGCTCTAAAGGAATTTAACTCAGCTCAGTGGCAAGTGCCTTAATCGGCTAGGCCATCTGACAGCCCACTCTCAACTTTTGTGTTGTATTTTGTTGTTTTAGTTTGGCTTTAATAGCCAAGACATTTTACAATCCCACCACAAATGTGTGAAGTTTCACTGCTCTCCATGTCTACCACTTCCTCTTTTGGGGGCTGATACCCCAAAGAACAAACTACACAAGCATGTAGTACACAAACTGGGACAAGCATGGAGATGGATTTTCTGACTCTGGCCCTTTCTGGAGCCATTGGTGATACTATATTACTCTTGCTTAAAAATCATGTTTTTAGTCTTATAAAATTTCTACCTTTTGGCTATGATATTTTCAAGTCTTTATGATATAAGGATCCCAACTCCTATTACAGGGGAACCAAAGCCTCCTCTCCAGCCAATTGATAAAGGGGGATTTATGGTCCTTCTTGGGCAGGGACTATGTCCCTCATTAGCATAGAATTTATAGAAAACTGATCATCTTTCAGCTCCTTAGAAAGAAGCCTGGGGATTGTGACAGGACACTAGGGTACCCTTCCCAGATAGTTTGCCCGCTTGCACATCTGGGAGCATTCTTTTTTTTTAACAAATGATGTCTATTACCATCATTAAATGGTGTCCTTGCTCCAATTTTTTTTTATTCTGGAACACAAGAGCCCAGAAATCTCATTGGGCACTGCTGGGTTGCCCTATTGGCTATGCCCTATTCTAAGTTGCTCCATATTATCTAATATATATATATATATATATTGGCCAGGCTGTCCCCTGTCCTGGGAGGCTCCATTTTACTTTGAGACAGGGTCTTACTGTGGACCTCTGACTGGCCTAGAACTTCCTATATGTAGACCAGGTTGGCCTCCAACTCATACCCCCTTGCCTCTGGAAACTCCATCCTGCAAGTAGTTTCTGACTCCATTAGGGGGAGGTTGACTGCAGCCGCTGGGTACACCATACACCATCTGTCAGGAACCATCCAGTACAGACTGGTAAGTGACTTATTCCTGAGAGTCGAAGATGTAAATTTGATGGGAGTCAATCTGTAAATTTTCTGGGATGAATCGAAACTTTGGGGGCGGCGGGCAATGGTGGCACACGCCTTTAATCCTAGCACTTGGGAGCCAGAACCAGGCGGATCTCTGTGAGTTCAAGGCCACCCTGGTCTACAAGAGTTAGTTCCAGGACAGGCTCCAAAGCTAAAGAGAAACCCTGCCTCAAAAAGAAAAAAGAAAAAAGAAAGAAACTATGGGGGCACAAGGGTATATCAAAATCCTATCAGGAAAACCAGACCCAAGAACTTATCAGACATGCCAGACCAAGGAAACGGTCAGTCCCTCACCTGGGACCCATTATGAAATGGACACCTAACATTGCAATGGAAAGCCCTATACCACCAATCTATCACCTGATAGTTACGTGTTGTGTGCATCAAGAACCAACAAGCAGAGGATGCCCGAAAGGGTGTGTGTCTGTGGGGGTGTCAAACTAGAGCTTTGATAGGCACGCCTAGTAGCCCGGATAGAGACCAGAGCCATGACAGGTTTCTCATAGCCCCTGCTAGGGATCAGGCCTTAGTTTCGGTTTACTGGAGGTGGCTGGAGGTGAGCAAACAGTTCGGGGTTGGGGGTGGGGGGTGGGGTGGGAACACAACTGAGGGGCAACAAATCACCAGGTGCCTCCTTGGCCTTCTGCTGTCTCAGCAGATGACCGCAGTCTCCTGGTAACTAAAGATAGCTTTCTCTACCCTGCTGCTGAAAGGTCCCTACCACTAGGACCCCCAATCAGCCCCCAGACTAATCTTTCCTCCACCAATCAGTACCAGATTAACCCTTCCTCCTTGGATTTCCCCTAACTCTGCTTAAAAGGAGCTTGCGACCCTCTTGAGGGGTGTGGGGGGGTCTCCATGAGCCACCCCAACGCTGGAATTAATACAGCGCTTTTGTTTATTACACACGTGATTCTTGTTCTTTTCTTGAAGGTTTCTTTTGGACCCTAACAATGCCTTAATTGTGCAGCTCTATCGTTACGTGTCACTGCTAATACTAAATACTAAAGGTATTGTTTAAAAAGGAAAACAAATTTGACAGAACCTGTAATCCGCAAACTCGGGAAGCTGAGGTAGTAAAGACCAGCATAGGCTATATTTATTCATTTATTTATTTTGGTTTTTCGAGGCAGGGTTTCCCTGTGTAACTTTGGAACCTTTCCTGGAACTCACTCTGTAAACCAGGCTGGCCTCGAACTCACAGAGATCCACCTGCTTCTGCCGCCCAAGGGCTGAGATTAAAGGCGTACTCCACCACCGGCCGGCTCAGCATGGGCTATGTGGCGAGGCTGAGCTACAGGTGTGGGACTCTGACTTGAAACACGAAAAAGGAGGAGGAGGGGTGGAGGAAAAAAATAAGTTGGAAGAAGATAAGAGGGGGAGAAGAAAAAGAGCTAGAAGAAAGGGAAAGAGAGAAAGAGGAAAGAGCTGTAACAGGAGTAAGTGGGGGCGCATCAGCCATTTACCTAAAACGTGCGGAACATCTCTCGCTGCCTCCCGGCCACCGTGCACTTCCGGTCCCAGAAGCCCCTTGCGACGGAAGTCGTCAGTGGGCGAGCCGGCAGCGTCCGTGGTAGCTCGCCATGGCGATGGGCAGCGGCGGCGCGGTCTCGGAACAGGAAGACTCGGTGCTCTTCCGGCGTGGCACCGGCCAGGTAAGGTCGCGGGTGGTGGCGCACCCCGGCGCTAGCGGCGAACGAGCTCGGAGTGCCGGCTGGGACCGAGCCGGTGCGCGCTCGGGCCCCTTGCTGCTACCCCCTCCGCAGGAGGCTTCCGGTGCGGCTCGGGCTCCAGAGTGGCTCTGAGCCACGCTTTGGTCCTGGGAGCCTGTGAGGGATGTGCGGAAACAGGGACAGGCTGGCGGAAGCAATGAAACCAGTTAGGAGTCATTGAAATGTTCCAAATTTAGATCACCATCCAGATGTTAGCGTAAGTTTAGACTAGATACAGTCTTGTCGCTAACAGGACCTAGTTTCGCAGGTAACTGTCGATAAGAGAATTTGAGAGAGAAGGGTAACTGAAGTGCCCTGCGTAGCTGAAAAGTTGCTACCTACTGCAATGCATTGATGCGGGGAAGACGAGAGAGGCTTCTAGTGTTTCAAGTGGGTGAGACAGAAGATCAGAGCCAGGCTTCGTGGTGCATGTTATAGTTACAAGCCCTGGGAGATGGAGGCAACAGGGTCAGGAGTTCAGGATCAGCCTTACCTACAGAGTGAACTCAAGGCCAGCCTAAACTACAGAGGGACTCTGTGAGAGTAAAATAAACACTTTTAAGTATGAGGGTTAAATCAGAGCCAGGTTGATGGACCATTCCTGTGGACCAGTCCAAGCTACTTGAGAGGCCGAGGCAGGATTGTGAGGTTGAGGCTAGCCTGGGAAATAGAACACGCTTCATCTAAAAAAGTTTAAAATGTTAGGAGCTCAGTCTTCATATGTTAAGTGTGATTTCTGCCTGCAGTGTAGGGTGGGAGAAGAGAATTCAAGGCAGCACTCGGCAGTGCTGCATCATCATTCCCTTCTCTTGGGGACAGCCCAGCAATTCATTTCCTAAATGAAAACTTTGACTTTTGGCCTCAGTGTACACCCGGGTGG